TATATTCTGGATATAAGCCTTTATCAGATAGATGATTAACTGGTATTTTCTCCCATGTCCACATTGTCTTTTTACATTTTTACAAGTGCACTTTGAGGCACAAAAGTTTTAAAATTTCCTTGATATCCAGTCTGTGTTACCTGTTTTTTCTTTTATTGATGGGCTTTTGGTGTCATATAAAAGAAGGCACTGGCTAGTCCAAGATTGTGAATATTTTATCTGTGTTTAGGTCTTTGATCCGTTTTGAGTTAACTTTTATGTGTGGTATGAAATAAAATTTCTAAATAAATTTTTACATGTGGATATCCAGTTGTATCAACACATTTTGTTGAAAACATTATTTTTTTTTTTCACCATTGAACTGTATTAGTATCATACCCTTGTCAAAAATCAGCTGAACACAAATGTGAAGATTTATTTTTGGACTCTAATTTCTATTTCATTGAGCTGTATGGTTATCCTTGTGCCAGGACCACATTATTTTTATTACTGTAGCTTTGTAATATGTTTTGAAATCAGGAAGTGTGAGTCCTCCAGCTTCATTCCCCCACCCCCATATTGTTTTAACTCTTTTGTATACCTTGCTTTTTCATATGAGTCTCAAGATTAGCTTGTCAATTTCTCCATCATCTGGGGTTTTGCTAGGGAGTAAGTTGAATTTGTTGATCAATTGGGAAGTATTCCCAGTATTTTCTTTCCCATAAAATGAACATCTTTTCATTTATTTAGGTTTTCTTTAATTTCTTTCAACAATATTTAGTAGTTTACAGAGTATAAGTTTTACATTTTTGTTAAGTATATTTCTAAATACTTTATTCTTTATAAAGTCATCGTAAATTGAAATAGTGTTTTAATTCATTTTGTTCACCACTACTGTACAAGAATACAGTTCATTTTTTTATGTTGATCTTGTATTCTGCAACCTTCCCAAACTCATTTATTAGTTCTAATAGTTTCTGTAGAGTCTTAAGATTTTTTACAGACCAAGTCATGTCGTTTCCAAATCGAAATCATTTTACTCCATCCCTTCCAGTCTGGGTGTCTTTTTTTTCATTTCTTGCCTTGTTAGATCATCTAGTACAATGTTAAGTAGACATGGCAAGAGTGAACATCCTAATTTGGTATCTGATCTTAGAGAAAAACAATCAGTCTTTAAGCAGTAATGGTGTTAAGTCTTTTGAGTGCTTTTATCATAAAGAAATATCAAATCTTGTTGAGTACTTTTCTCTATTGGGATGATTATGTGGTTCTTGTCCTTTTTCCATTGATATATGATATTGATTGGTTGTGGTGTATAGGAAATTTCTGTGTATTTGAAAAATATATTAATTTATAGTTTCTTGTGATTTCTTTTTCTGATTTTGGTATCAAGTAATACTGACATTATAAACGATTTGGGAAAGATTCCTTCATTCTGTTTTTTGGAAGAGTTTGTACAGAATTGATACCCAATGTTTTTTATTTGGTAAAATTTGCCAGCATAGCAATCTGGGTCTTCTTTGTTGGAAGTTTTAAAATGAATTCAAAATCTGTTGGCTTTTAATAAACTGTATTACTTTTTGTCAGTTTGGCTAGATTATTTCTAGGAATCTCTCGTATTTCCTCTGAATTATCTAATTGGTTGGCATATAGTTTTTCACAATATTTCCTTATAATCCCTTTTATTTCTGCAAGGCCAATAATAAATTCCTTCTTTCTGGGCCTCCCCAGTGGTGTGGTGGGTTGAGCACAGCGCTGTGAAGCTGTCCGCAGCCCCTGCAGCGCCTGTTGGATTCGATTCCGGCCGGCTGGGAGAAACCCACATGGGGCGGCAGACCTCTCCTGCCTCGCCTGCTGCCCCCCCTCAGCAGTGTTTTTGGTCCGTCTGCCTATTCTGTTCCCCACTCTGTCTGTGGTGAATCCTCTTACCCTCCCGCACATCTGGCCTGTACCCCAGTTCTTGTATAAATAAATAAATCTTGAAAAAAAAAAAATAGGGCTTCCCTGGTGGTGCACTGGTTAAAGACAGCACTATCAAGCTACTGCCAGCAACTACAGCGTGAGTTTGATCCCCTGCCGGCCAAGAAGCAACCCACATGGCACAACAGACCTCTCCTGTCTCGCCTGCTGATCCCCTCAGCAGTGTCGTCGGTCCGTCTGCCTGTTCTATTCTCCACTCTATCTGTGGTGAATCCTCTCATCTCTCTCACCTCTGGCTTACACCCCAGTTCTTGTATGCATAAATAAATAAATATTTTTTAAAAATAAATAAATTCCTTCTTTCATTCTTGATTTTCATAATTTGAGTCTTTTTTCTTGGTCATTCTAGTTAAGGGTTGTTAATTGTTGGTAATTTCAAAGACCCCCCCTTTTGGTTTGTATTTTTTCCTACTTTACTATTCTCACTTATCTTTTAAAGATATTAAAAGTAAAAAAAAAAATTCTTTTATATTTATCCAGATTTATCCTTTTTTTGAAGATTTATTTATTTACCTATGCATACAAGAACTAGAGTACAGGCCAGAGGTGTGGGGGGTGAGAGGATTCACCAGAGACAGAGTGGGGAACAGAACAGGCAGAGTGATTGAAATGCACTGCTGAGGGGAGCAGCGGACAAGTCAGGAGAGGTCTGCTGCACCATGTGGGTAGCTCCCTGGCCAGCTGGGGGCTCGAGCTTGTGCTGCAGTGGCTGTGGACAGCTTCATAGGTGGCGTCTTAACCCCTTGTGCCACCAGGGAGACCCCATATTTATCATTTTTGGTGATTTTTTTAATACAAATCTAAATGTTCATCTGATATCATATTCTTTTTTTTATATAATGTAGATTTTTTTAAAGATTTATTTATTTATTTATACTAGTACTGGGTACAGTCAGAAGCGCGGGAGGGTGAGAGAATTCACCAGAGCCAGAGCAGGGAACAGAACGGGCAGACTGACGAAATACACTGCCGAGGGGAGCAGTGAGCATGACGGGAGAGGTCTGTCACGCCATGTGGGACCCTCGCTGGTGGCTGGGGATCGAACCGGTGCTGCAGAGGCTGCAGGAAACTTCACAGCCCAGCGCTCAACCGCTGCGCCACCAGGGGAGGCCCTGATATCATATTCTGATTTGAACAACTTACTCTTTAGCTTAGGTTTTTTTGGCAATAAATTCTCTCAGCCTTGGTTGTCTGAAAAGTTTTTATTTTGCCTCTGTTTCTGAAATGTATTTTGCTGAATTTTAGTTTGACACTTTTTTTCTTTCAGTAATTAAAGACATGCTCCATTACATTCTGGCTTAAGTAGTTTCTGATAAAAATTATGCTGTATGATTAATAGTTCTTATCCAATTTTTCTTTTTTCCTGTTTTCAGGTTTTCTTTCTCTTTGATAGTCAGCAATTTGTAGAGTATTGTGGGGAGTTTTTCATCCTGCCTGGGATTCATTAAGCCTTTTGATTTGTGATTCATATTCTTGCATTACTTTTAAAAAATTTAGCATATTCTCTTTAACTACATTTTTACCCTGTTCTTCTCCATAACTGAGAATCCAAATATATGTATTTTAGTCTTTGTGATAATCTGACAAGTTTTTAATGTTTTGTTCTGTGTTTTGCATTCTTTTTTCTCTTTGTTTTACTTTGGATAATTTCTTTTGACCTGACTGATTCTTTCTGTGTACTGTCCATTCAGAAACCCATGTATGTTGTTCTTTGTTTTCAATATTGTGTTTATTAAAACATTTTAATATATATTTGGTTCTTTTATAATTTCTATCTTTATAGTTTCTATCTTTGTGAAAAGACCCTATTTACTCATGAATTTTTCCAAGCTTTATACCACACCCTTTAATCAAATTTGTTTCAAAGTCCCTCTCTGATAGTTCTAATCTTCAACCATTTCTGGTTCGGATTTTGTTAACTGCTTTAGCTCTTGACAGTGCTTTTTTTTTTTTTTTTTTTAGATCTTGTTATGAGTGTTATAAATACTACTGAGTGCTAGACGTGTTTAAAAGAAAATAAACACCAAGGTTAATAGCACAGGCCTAACCCGCCCCCCTTTTTACCCTCCATGTGAAAGTAGAACATTGCTTTTTGTATGATTGGTGGATTACTTCTTGGGTGTGGGAATGCTCAAAAAATGATCCATATAAATTAATTGTAATAATATTCCCAAACCCAAAAACTAACCTATCTAATCAAGCAAACAGTAATGTTTTTCTACTTTTGGTTAGCAGGGAGAAGTTGTATTTATGTCAAGAAAAGTGCATATCTGTTTTTGTCAGGTTATTAGTTGGGGAGACAGGGGTTTGAACCTATCTGGTCAGTGGTTGAACAGATTTTGTTTTGTTAGCACAAATTCATTGCAACATGCCACTTGAATTTTTTTTTTAGTAATTCCTGCACCTTGTGATTAATGTGGGATTTGGAATCCTAAAGGATTTTTTTTCTGTGTTCTCACTACACACTCAGCTTTCAGTAAGCCCTGCACACCTGCCCCATAAGGGAATCTTTGTACTCTTGCTCAGCTCTTAGCTGTAGATTGCTATTGTTCTTTAATCAAGGTTTTGGAGGAGGAGGAGGTGGAGGAGGGAGAGGAGAGGGTATTTAATTCTTCTCTTACAGGTTTAGTATTAGGCAGGTTCTTTATACCTGAGTACCAGACTGGGTATTACTAATGTTGCTGTCCCTTCCATCATGCCTCCCAGCAGCCTTGTGTCAAAAGAAGGAGCTAGAGTCCTGGTTCTGTTCTAACAACAGATGACCTTTGCTTTGAAAGACCCTAAGTCCGAGCTCACTTCAGCCTTGCTGCCAGTAGCAGATTTTTTTTTTTCTCTCTAAGTGGCAGCTGGGCTTTTCCTTGGGCAAAAGGTGTGAGGATATTTCAAAAATTATCCTTAATATCTTTCTATGTATGTATATCATTGTTGTTTCTCTAAAAGATTAGTTCCTATGAGCAGAGGCTGAATCTTAGATTTTGAAAGGATGACTGCTTACTATTTGGTTATTATTATAATGTGCCGATGTGTCTGTTCTTTTCCAGCTTAGGCTTGATTTCCGACTCTTTTCACATGTTTTTCGATAGCACTGCCATTTTGGCTGGATTGGCAGCATCTGTTATTTCAAAATGGAGAGATAATGATGCTTTCTCTTATGGGTAAGACTTTTAAAAACCCTTTTTATTGAAGTATAAGAAACATAGAAAAATACACAAATCTCAAATCTCACAGATTGAACTCAGTTGTATAACTTGAACCTTTAAACTCTCCTCATGCCTCCTTAGAGTTCCTTCATACTCATCTCCCTAAGGCTATTCACTTTCCTAACTCTGTGCATTAATTAGTTTTGAACAGTATATAATTTGAATCTGTAGTATGCACTTTTTTTTGCATCTGAATTCTTTTGCTTTGAGGTAGAGCATCTTGATTTTACCAAAGATTTTTACTTAGATTGTTATTACCTAGGGGAATTCCTCAATTCTTAACTACTTTTTTTTTTTTTCCAAGAAGAAAGAGAAAATGTTTCAGCATATAAAAATGGTTATATTTCTTTTTCTTCTTTGAGGGGATATTTTACTATTAATTTATTTTAAATGATCTCTCCTAATGGTTTTATATCATCCTCTTCAGCTCTGCTGTTACATAAAATATTTCTCATAGTCTTTCTGAATTTGATCAACCAAATATTTGGAGAGTGTTTTTTATGCTGAACTAGATTGCAAAATCTGTTCTTAATTCTGAGTCAAGTACCCTTAAAAGCAACTTTTAGTTTTTACCACCTCTGATTGGGGGAAGCAATGGATTTTCTATTATTTGATTTACTTTGCCTGAACATTTTTTATTCTGAGCTCATAGAATATTTTCCAGTGTAATTGTATTAATGCGTAAGTGACACTCAGGACCTTTCTCCAGCCCACACTCTCTTTTTCCCTCTCTTCCTCTCCTGCTTACTTGTTGCTTCTTCCCCTCTTTTTATCCTCCCTTTCCTCTGTCTGCCTCTCCTGTGTGCTCTCTCATTCATTCTGTTCTTCCTCTGTTTCCTCGTCTCTGACTCTTGATCCATCCTCAAATTCATCTCCTCCTTATCCCTCCTGAACTCCCCTCCCCTCTAACTTGTTATTTCTTTCTGGATACTTGGGCTCATAATCTTTCTCCCTGCCTCTGTGTTTTACTTTCTCCTCTCCCTCTTCCTCCCTTCCTCACATCTTTTCTCTTATTCTTTCTTTTCTCCTGCTAGCTTCCTCTCCTCGTTTCCACTGCTTCTCTCAGGCGCTTTCTTTTTCTTCTCTCCTCTCCCATGATGTCTTCAGGTCTAGTTCCCTTTTCTCTCCCTTAACCAGTCTCTCTCTTTTCTCCTCCTACTGATTCTCTTTCCCTGAGCTCTCCCTTACACACAGTCTCTTAGGCCCCCTCTTTCTCTTTTTTTGCTCATCTCTCACCCCTTCCTCTTTTCTCTCTAGCCGTGCTTTTGTCTTGAGCAAGCACACACACTCTTTATTTTACACATGCTCTTGTGCTCTTCAGCTATGTATTTAGGGCCCAGTGTGAGTCAAATACTTTGCTAGTTCTGATGATATGAAGATGAATAATACATGACTTCTGCCTTGGAGGAACTTGTGGTTTAATGGCGAAACAGTTCTGTAGAAATGCCACAATTAGGCTAAGACTAGGGATAGTCTGAAAAAAACCTCAGTTCTTTATGTTAATTATAACAGACTGACTGCAAAAGAGGAAATAATATGTGGAATCTGAGCGTCATCAAAGATTTTTACAGATTTCTTTATATAAAATTCATCTTTGTGTCTTGTCATAGTCCTATTTTTGAAATAGCAATGCCAGCATGAAAGGTAATGGAGATTCAGTAGGTAGGTAGATGTGTATGTTGGTACTTACGTACACATGTGCATCTACTCCTCCCCTTACAGATTTCAGATACCATCATGCTTATTAGGCAATAATACATTCATGAATTATATATTTTAATTCCAAGCTGTTCAAGTCAACATGGTCATTTCTTAAGGCAAATATATCTAGTTTCACAAGTTGTTTATTTTAAAGGGAAACCAAGTTTGAGCAAATATATTAAGTTTAGTTAAATTACTTTAGTCCAACAATTAATCAGAATTTATGAAGCAGCCAGTAAGCTAAGGCATTAGGGACCAAAAAAATGACTGAAAAACATCCCTGCCTTTGATCTGGAAAAGTAATGGAACTTAAAGACAAAGTCTTTCAATCAAATATTAGCTGTGTGACTAGGAGAGTGGGTTAAAAGATAGTGCTTTTTATTTGGTGGGGCAGAATAATATGCTGATTAACTACATAAATTCTTAAGCGTGGATTTAGGAAAGCAAGTTGTGAATTCTTTGACTAGTGACCTTTTTTCTCTTGAATAACAACTATATGTTTTGGCAAATAATGTTATTAATTTATTTGCATTGTTAGAAGGTAGAAATATGCTTTATTTCTGAGTATAGATGGTATGTTAGAATGTTCTTGATAGGACAAACTCCAACATAAAGAGACAGAATATATTTTAAAGAGATAGTTTTCTTTACACTAAAAATTGCATTATTTAGAAGTTGACATTGAAAGCTAGAAAAAGCAGTATTTTTGATGTTCCTCTCACATTGTTTAAGCACCAGAGTGATTAACTTCTGTCAGCACCCTTTGAATAACGTTTGAACATGTAAAACTACCAAGTTAAAGTTGTTTCTGATGACTTTAACTAAACCAAATATGCCTCATGGAAAAATAAAATCTCTCCCCAATGCTTCACACACAGGTAGGAAGCAGAAAGCTTCAGAAGTCCATGGAGAAAAAGACAGGTATTTTAAAAAATAGTTTAATAAGAGTTCTGTGAAGCTATAAATGATTCTAAAATAGGTAATTGAGAAGTTTTTGCTAAGTTTATTAATTTTATAGAAAGCGTGATAGAAATATAAATCTCAAGTTGTTTCTGGGATCATTCAGAAATAATTTTATTTTCCTTCAGATCAAAGCTACACTTTCAACGTATGTGAAAGCTAAAAGGTACAAAGTAGAAAACAAGGAGTTTTTAGAAGAGGATTAAGTTATAAAAACCCTTTTCAAGCTCTTTTCTTCATCTTTTATCTGTGGATCCCTTCCTTCCCTTGCCCATTGTCTGATCTTATTCTTCCTTCTCCAGTGGCAACTTGAGATTTACATTTCTGTGAAGGTTCTTTCTAAACCTACTTACTCTAAGAAGGCCTTTTGATTGGCCTGTAGAAATCTATGCATTTTATGGCATTCTGCTATTAAACATAATTCGTAATAATTAAATTTCATTTCCTCACTTCTGCAACAAACATACAACATACTGTGTTATAAATACTGGGACTTTGCTGGCCACTTATAACTATTTATATAATGTAGCTTACAATCTGAACATATGTAAATTTATATTGGATTTTTGAGAAATAATAATTAGTTGTTTACTTTGCTCTTCTTTAGGTATGTTAGAGCGGAAGTTCTGGCTGGCTTTGTCAATGGCCTATTTTTGATCTTCACTGCTTTTTTTATTTTCTCAGAAGGAGTTGAGGTATAGTAGATAATGACCAGAATCAGTAAATTGCATTCCTGTGTGAAAATGTTTATTAACTAAAGATACATGTTTAGAGTTGTTTTTCACACTGTCATTAAGTGTTTATTGAGGGCAGTCTTGGATGAGATAAAATATTGTGTGTACAGGGAAAGCTTACAAAATTGTTGAACAAATTAAATATATGTGAAACTACTGGAAACTGAAAACAAGTAAGAGTGCTTTATAAACTGTGAATGAAGTGTTGACACTTTGAAAAGTAAAGATACAATCTGGGTAGTGAGGTTCCTTGGGAGGAATTCTTAAAATAGAAACTGAGAGTTTTGTCAATGAATCTTTAATATTTGGTTTTTTAAAAAAAAAAAGGAAAGAGAAAATTTAAAGAGTGAGGAACTTAAAATGAATGACAGTATTTTAAGATAACAAGGAAGGAGTAGTTTTAGATAAAAATGTATGCTTTCAAATTTTTATATTTTAAAACAGTAATTGTTACCTTTTCTACAGTATCTAAGCACTGATTTATTTCTATAAACTGTTGTGGCAAATATTTTTGGAATGCTTTTAATTCTGAAAGTGAACAGTTTGTAAAAGTACATTTTGTTTTTACCAGTAGATCAATCAGAAATAATATCAATGCTATTTGTATTATGTGTTTTCTAGAGAGCATTAGCCCCTCCAGATGTGCACCATGAGAGACTGCTTCTTGTTTCAGTGCTTGGGTTTGTGGTAAACCTAGTAGGAATATTTGTTTTCAAGCATGGAGGTCATGGACATTCTCATGGCTCTGGTATGATGGTTAGAACCCTTTGTTTTTTTTTTTTTTTTCATTTTCTCATTTCCATCATAATTATTCGCTTTTGAAGATCTATTGATAATTTTAAAGTTAAATTCTATTTTGATTTTTAAGAACAAAAGTAAATATGTTAATATGCTCAATGTCTCCTGAATCATCCCTCCCATATCTCCTCTCAGTGCCTTCTTGAGTTATATATGTTATCTCTTTGGTGTGGATCCTTCCAGACAGCTATAGCTCATCTGTTTAGCATAATACCATTTCTATAAAACAGCTAAATAAACATCAAAACACAAAGCAAATCTTAGTCAATTTTAAATTAATAATTGCACTGATAATTTTCTAACGAGGAGCTGTCCTTAAATGTGGTGGTTAAACTATACTCATTTAGGTCTGCAATCCATTTTGAGTCAATTTTTATGTATGTTGTGAGGTATGGGTCCAATATCAGTTTCTTCTTGTGTGTAGATATTTCAGTTTTTTAGTCCCAATTGTTAAAAAGCTTTTTCCCAATGAATTGTCTTGGCATCCTTGTGAACAATCAATTGACAATAACTGGAAGTTTATTTCCAAACTCTCAGTTCTGTTTTATTGTTCTGTATGTCTATCCTTAAGCCAGTACTGTGCTGTCTTGATTAAAGTAACTGGAGGAAGGTTTGAAATCAAAATTGGAATTCTCCCAACTTTTTTTTTCTTAAGTTTGTTTTAGTTATTCTCTGTCATTTTTTGTATTTCCATATAAAATTTAGGATCATCTGATCAGCTGGAATTTGCTTGGGAACTGAGTTGAATTTGGAGATCAGTTTTGGAAGTATTATTTTAAGACTGTCAGTTCTTCTGACCCATTAACATAGGATGTTTTTCATTTATTTATAGCTTCTTTAACTTCTTTCAACAATGTATTATAGTTATTAGTGTACACATATCACTGTTTTGTTAACTTTATGCCTAGACTATTTTTGGCTGCTGTAATAAATAGGATTGTTTTCTTTGTTTCATTTTTGGATTGCTTGTTGCTAGTACATAGGGACACAATTTATTTTGGTATAGTCATCTTGTGTCTTGCCACATTGCTAAAATTGTTCCTTATTCTACTATGTTTTTTCATGGATTCTTTAGAATTTTAATGGAAGTGAGAGTAGATATTCTTGTCCTTTTCCAGATTTTAAGATGTAAGTATTCAGATGTTCTTATTTAAATATGATGTTAGCTGGGTTAGCTATGGGGGTTTTCTAAATGCTGTATATCAGATTGAGGAAGTTTTCTGATCCTAGCTCACTGGGCATTCTTACCATAAAAGGATAGTAGATTTTGTAGATGACTTATTTTTTCTTCAATGATCAATTTTGATCATCTTTTATTCTATTAATATAGTATATTGTTTAATTTTCAGATGCTAAAATGCCTTTACATTCTGAGGATAAATCCCATTTAGCCAAGGTTTATGATCCTTTTTCTATATTGCTGGGTTTACTTTACTAGTATTGCATTGTGAAGACATTTTTGTCTGTATTATTAGGTAATATTGGTCTCTAGTTTTCTTTTGATATCTTTAGTTACAGTTGGTATTCGGGTAATACTGGCCTTATATAATGACTTGGGAAATGTCCCCATCTATTTTTTAGCTTGGGGTTGGGGGAATTACTGGTACTAATTACTGGTACTCTTAAAATGCTAATTACTGGTACTCTTAAAATGTTTGATAGAATTCTCTAGTGAAGTCATCTGAGTTATCTTTGGTAGAACTTTTTGAATTTTGAATTCATATGTTTTTGGCTTATTACTGGTCTATTCAGATTTCTATTTCTTTTTGTATCAGTTTAAACAGTTTGTGTGTTTATAAGAATTTGTTTATTTCATCTAAACTATCTAATTTCTTGCCTTGTTCTTGTTTATAGAATGTGTTTTATTTATTTCCATAAGGTCAGCACCATGATATCTTCTCTTTCCCAATTTTAATAATTTGTACCCTTTCTCGTTTTTTCTTAGGCAGCCTGGTTAAAGCTTTGTCAGTTTCCGAAATTTCCTCTATTGGTTATACTGATTGATCATTCTGTATTGTTTTTCTCATCTCTATTTCATTTTATCTGCTCTGATTATTATGTGCTTTCTTACTGTTTTCAGTTTGGTATGCTTTTCTAATTTCATAAGATAGAAGACTAGGTGATTGATATGAGATCTTTCTTTTAGCATAGGCTTATACAACTATAATTTTTGAAATAAGTATTATCTTACCTTGGTATGTATATTTTGGTATATCATGTTTCTGTTTTTCTTATCTCAAAGATTAAAATTCTTAAAATTTCCCTTGTGATTTCTCCTTTAATCATCAGTTATTTAGGTTGTGTTTAAATTTTTGTATTTGCGAATTTCTCTGATTTTATTCAGTTGTTGATTTCTAGTTTAATTCCATTGTGATTAGACAACATACATTTTATGATTTAATTTTTTCAAATTTATTGCATCTTGGTTATGACCTAGCATTTGGTCTATTCAGAAATATTCCTCTGCACTTGAGAAGAATTTAAGTTGTGCTGTTATTGGGTGGAGTGTTCTGTAGTACCTGTTGTCTAATTTGGTCATGTTTCCTTGCTGGTCTTCTGACTAATTGTCAGATATTTATTGAAAGTAGGATAATGATGTCTCCAGTTGTCATTGTTGAATTTATTCATTTATTGATTGATTGATTGAATTTATTTTTCCAGTCAGTTCTTTTAGTTTTTTGTAGCTTGCTGTTCAGTACATGTATGCTTATCTTCAATATATTTTCCTAATGAATTGAGCCAGTTATTCATTGTTGTTCTTTTTCTCTCAAATTACTTTTGACTTGCAGTCTATTTTGTTAAGTATTAGGATAGTCATTCTAACTTTTTTCTTTTACTGCTAATGTGGGTAGTAATCTTCTATCCTTTTACTTTAAATTTATTAGACTCTTTAAATCTAAATCTCCTGTAAATAATCTATAATTGGATCATTGTTAAAAAATCTATCCTGACAATCTGCATTTTAATCAGGGTGTTTGGACAATTTATATATTGTGTAATTACTGCTAAGGTAGCATTTGCATCAGCTACTTTAATATTTACTTTCTGTATCATCTGTCCTTTTTGATACTCCTCTTATTTCTCAATTCTGATCTTTTAAATTTGCTAGTGTAACTTAATTCTCAGGTTGTATCTTTTATTTTACATATCTTTTAAATTATCTTCATTGTTGTCATGGGGTTACAAATACCATATTAACTTAAAACAGTCTAGCTCAGATTAATAATAATAATACCTACATGTATTTATAAACCCATCAATACTTTCATAATTATTGCTTTGTGCAATTATCTTTTAAAACATATAGAAGAAGAAATGCATTATAAGCAAAAAAACCTGTATATCTTCTCCTTGATAATTAACTTTACCAGTGCTCCATATTTGTGTGAATTTGAATTATTGCTTAGTGTCCTTCCATTTCACTTGCAGGGAATGTTTATATGGAATGTGGAAATGCCTAAATTTCTGCTCTATTTTTAAAGGGGAGTTCAGTTGAGTTTAGAATTTTTGGTTGAATCTTTCTAACATTATGATTTTTCCAAAAAATGACTGGTTTTCTGGCGTTCATGGTTTTTGTGGAAAAGTCAGCAGTTAATCTTATTCAAGTTCCTTTGTATATAATAACTCATTTCTATCATAATATACAACTTTCAAATTCACCAATTTAACTGTGTCCCAGATATGATTCTCCTTGAAGTTTTACAACTTGGTTGGAGTTTCTGAGCTTTCTGAATATGTGAATTAGTATTTCTCATCAAATTTGGGAGATTCCATCTATTTCTCCAAGTATTTTTGTCTCTTTCTTTTCTCTGTTTTGGAACTTTTGTTTGACTTAATTTGGTACAGTTGGTATTTCCATGGGTCTCTAAGACTGTTCTTTTTTTTTTTTTTCCCCCGTTGCTCTGAGTGAATAATCTTTACCAGTCCATCTTTGAGTTTGCTTTTACTGAAGTTTAAGTCTGTTTTGGGGTCCCTCTAATGGATATTTTATTATGTTTTTTAGCACCAGAAATTCTGCTTGGTTCTTTGTAATTTTATCTGTTCATTTATCTTCTCTCCTTGATGTTCATCATTGCTATGCTTTTGTTTTTTATACATGGTTTCCTTTAGTTCGTTGAGCATGTTTATAACTGCTTTAAGGACCTTATCTACTAAGTTCAAAATCTGGATTCCTTTCAGGAACATTTCATTGCTGCTTTTCCCCCCCAGATGTGTGTGACATACTCTCCTCTTTGAAATTCTTTTTTGTTGTTGTTGAAAAATTAAGTATTTTATATTATAATGAGTCGTATCTCCTCTCAGTGTTTGTTGTTTTTCTTGTTGTGTGACTTCTTTAAACTAATTCACTTCCTACAGTTTGTGACCATTGAATTATTGGAACTGAATTCTGAGTCTAATAGCCACCACATTGAGAATAGAGATTTTTTCCAGGGAACTGCAAGTCTGGACCAAGTGTTTACCATTGTCTGGAGAGGGTCATTTCAATAAAGCTTCAAAAGAAATTAGGTCTCTCCAATTATCAGTTGCTGCTTCTGACTTTGGGTTACTTTGAGCTAAGCTGGGTCAGAAAGCAGAGTGAGGATAGATTTATTTTTTGGCTTTGGTTAATTGCCAGAGTTCTGAAATGCTTAATTTTTAGTTAAATTGTTGCTTTAAAGGAAGAGAAGTAATTTGCCAACATTCCTTCTCCACCATTCTGGATGCTCCCCATTATTCATGTTTTTTCATATAATACAGTGCTGACTTGGATTTACTGGTGTTCAGGAATTTTGTGACTATAAGTGATTTTTGGAAGTCTCTCTATACTGGAATAGCTTGCATAAGATGTTTCTTTGATGACTTAGTTTTCCATCTACTATGGAGAGAGGATTCTGCATTATTTTGGTTTTCCTAAGGTTTCTGCCATCTTTAATGTAGTTTTACAAAACATTTTACCAAATGTAGCAACTTCCCTGCTCCTGTTTCAGTACAACCATGTGCATACATTTATAATACGTGTAAGAGTATTTTGTAAAATTTTGGTCAGTATTTTTGTCTGTGTTTTCTACCACTTTATCCTTAATGCCTAGTACAATGTCTATAATATAGTGTGTCCCAAATAACTATTTCTTGAATGATTGAATAACATTATCTACTCTCTGTATTTCTGAGTACTTCTCACTGTCTTCATCCCCAATAAATCTACTTTCTTTCATTTCCTTCCTGTACTCTGTAATAAGAACTCCGTCAGTATGGTTTTAATGAATCTATAATACTTCATTATGTTAACATATATTAGATTGAATCTGATTTTAGAGCCAATTCTTTTCACTAATATCAGTATTATTGTGACCTTTTATATAGTGCATTTTGACATGAAGTTTTGTTCTAATACTCCATGTTTTTTAGGACATGGACATAGTCATTCCCTCTTTAATGGTGCTCTGGATCAAGCACATGGCCATGGAGATCATAGTCATAGTCATGGACCAAAGCATGGTGCTGCACATAGCCATGATCATGCTCATGGACATGGACACTTTCATTCACATGGTGAGTTGTGCTTGAAGACTTTCAAGTAAAAAGACTTCCAAATAAACAGAAATTGTATAGAATACTTTTCCTAGTTGAAGTAGTCTGTAGAAAAGATACTGCAGTCAACTTTTTTTCTAATAAATTAGGCAAAATGGTTCCCAGACCTAGCATATTTTTAGTATATAATGAAATCAACTTGGTTGAAGGCACTGGATGTAGCTTTTTCCCCTCAATTTCATGTTAAAAATGCCACTATTTTAAATGAGTCGATGAATGAGGAACACTTGCATTTTAGCAAAGGGAAATCATAATCTTTAAAAGTATGGTGAAGCATTTATTGCCATATATAGGTATATAAAATGTGATTTTAATTTTTCACATTTTTATTTGATGGGTATCACCTGATAACTCCATGTTCCTTTAGAAATTAAATTCCTGCTTTACTCTGTTGAATGTATTCAGTGGCTCTTGGTGATCTGAGAGCCACTATCAACCATTCAGAAATACGTAAACAGTTAAAAATTTTACCGCATACTGTTTGTCCTTGGGTTCTTTTTCCATTCTGTTTTTTCTTATAATTTTATAATGAGTATTTTACAGAGTTATAATAATGGGGAATTTTATAATAATGGAGTGTGTTATGTCTGAAATTTAATTGTACACATTATACTTCTTAACTATAAAATATATAAATAAATTAAAACTTTTTATTCCTAGAAACATGAGACTTTGCATAAACATAAGACTTTGTACCCTGTTTTTATTCCAATTCTACTTTCTGTTGAGTTGATATGGTAGAAGGTGGGAACTGTGTTCCCCATGGCAATTCAGAGATCCAGGTTTCTTCCTTTGATGGGATTCTTAGCCTTTGGACTCTATCACTGGAATCTCTGTACCTAACTGGAGATAAGAATACATAGAAAATCATGTGGGACATTCTTATGAGCCTGAAAGTAGTTTATCTTTCATTTCCTTCATCTATAATTCAGTTATATATACCATTTTATCAAGGGAACCTGGGAAATGCAGTTTAGTTGTTCACCAAAAGGAAGAAGTAGTTTAGTAAGCAACTTGGCCAGTCTCTACCATAGATAATAAATTTTATTTCCAGAAAGACTTACCTGTTTTACATAGATGGGAATTATGTTGTCTTGCAGCTACTACATTAATATAGCTGAATACACCTTCAAAATAATTGTGTCAGAAATGACTATCTATGTGGATCTGTTATCTCTAGATAGAAATCTGATATCTTAATCAGGAGCTGGATTTTTAGAACAGTTACACTTTGACTGTCAGCAGGGTTATTCAAGGTAGCACCATCTTTCTCACCACACAGCAGTGACATATCCAAACAGAAATCATTGTCCAGCCATGTTTCATACCTCTTTTGGCATTGTTACAGTGCTCTGTCAAAGCTGTATTGACAAGAGTGTGTCAGCTCTTTCTGTGCTTAGGCAAGAACCATGATCCAGGGTAGGTGCTCTGTTAGTCACGATCAGAAGCTGTCAGTCCTCCTGATGATTTCTTTAACGAATACTGCTCCTCTTTTACATTGTTTACCTATCCTGTATGCTTTACTGTTAAAATTGATTTGTAACCTTCAAAATATTTAAGTATATAGGTGGCAATATTTTTTCATTACTTCATCATAATAGCAAAATGAAAAAGTATTTTGGATCTCTCCTGTGTGAAAAGCATGCAACATCCACCTATCAGTAGAACCTTTGGAAAACCACATAATTCATTTATCCTGGTTTCATTTCTAAGACTCTTACAAACTTTAAGCAGACTTGTTTTTTTCTGAATTTTCCAATTGTAAAATTAGCTTTGAAGCTATATAAGGTGTGTAATGAATATTAGAAGACTTTCACAATGATTTTAATTTACTGTGGCTTTTTTTCCCTCCAATTTGCTTGATACAGTAATTTTCTATACTCTGTACTGTTGATACATTTTTAAATTGCTGTCTGTCTCCATTAAATTACTATATTAAAATATAACTTTATAGGTCTGATGTGGCTATATAGTGATGCAGCCTTCGCAATACATTTGAATGAAAAGTATTCTGAATTGGAAGAATTGAATCAGGAGTTAAAAACATGTTTTAAAATTATTTAACTTTCTACAGATGGTCCCTCACTAAAAGAAACAACAGGACCCAGCAGACAGATTTTACAAGGTATGACAAACAATTTGTATATGTCTTAGTTTTCTAAAACTGATTTCATAGTTTTGAGTTTATCTGAAGTTTTTCTTCAAGAAAATGGTATCATGGTATTTATGTTTAAAATGTTAGCCTTACTCTATGGGAACTACATCTGAGGGACTGGGGGAAGCAAATATTGTTTAAAAATGAACAAAGAAGGGCCTCCCCGGTGGCGCAGCGGTTGAGCGCTAGGTTGCAAAGCTGCTCGTGGCCTCTGTGGCACCATTTCGATCCCCGGCTGCTCCCCAGCCACCGGAGGAGGGTCCCACATGGCGCGCAGACCTCTCCTGCCGCCCCTTGCTCCCCTCAGCAGTGTACTTTGGTCCTTCTGCCTGCTCTGCTCCCTGCTCTGGCACTGGAGAATTCTCTCACCCTCCCGTGCTTCTGACTGTACCCAGTGCTTGTATAAACAAACAAACAAATAAATAAATAAATCATGAATAAATAAAAATACATGCCTCTTTAAAAAAATAAATAAATAAATAAATAATGAACAAAGATGCAAAAATTTTTAAAAAGTTAAAATAAATAAATAAATAAAATGTTACCCTTCCTAATGATTTTTAAATCTATTCCATTAGGTATATTAGCACATATTTAAATGTTACTTAACTGTTTCCTCAGATTTAATGAGAAGATTAAAATATTCAGGACACTATACTATTTAAATGATACGCATGCCTATGCTTATACTAGCACCGTAGTAGTATGTTTGCCTTCATTTGATTATTAAATGATTTTTCCAAGAATAATAATTAATATGTATTTGGAAAATTTGGAAACTAAGAATGCAATGCAGACAAACCCATTAAGATGCATAACACCAAACATGAATCCTGATGTGAATTATCAGTTGACAATGTCATTGTAGTTTCATTAGTTGTAACAAATGTACCACTTTGGTAGGGAATGTTGACAATGGAGAAAGAGTATGTGTGGGGAAATACCTGTTCTTTCCATTTAGTCTTGCTATGAGCCTAAGACTGCTCTAAAAAGTAAATTATATTGTGCCCAAAAAATAGATGACTGTATCAAGAGGATGTGGTATAATTATACGCTGGAATACTATTCAGCAATCAGAAAAGATAAATTCATGCCATTTGCAGCAACATGGATGGAGCTAGAAGGGATTATGCTCAGTGAAATAAGTCAGAAGGAAAAAGAAAAATACCGGATGTTTTCACTTATAGAAGGAATATAGGGGAACCAAATAAAGGATCAGGGGAAAAATAACAATTAAAAAAACTAATAGGCAGCTATAAATCAGAGACATTCTGCAGGCACAGGGGAGGGAGAGGGATCAAAACGGGAGGGAAGAGCACAAAGGCCTATGGCAATGGTGCAGAGGTGAATTGGTGATGGGAATTCTATGGGGACTACACTGACAGGAGAAAGCAAACATTGTACAGAAATGAACAGTGATGTAAAATATATATAAATAAATTACATTAAAAATCAAATGATCGTCCAAAAAAGGGAAGTATATTGTATTTTTAAAAATGAAATGCAAGATGTAAATGAGACTTGTCTGTATCAGTGCAAAATGAGACTTGTCTGTATCAGTGAACATCAGATGATGCTACCAAAGTAGGAATTTGTCATTTAAAGCAATATGTCACATAGGCAAAACACTACATGATATGCACATCAAAGACATCTTTACAGACACATCACCCAAAGCAGTGATAGTGAAGGCTAAGATAAACAGCTGGGACTACATCAAATTAAAGAGCTTCTGCACAGCAAAAGAGACAATAACAAAAACAAAGAGAAACCCCACCAACTGGGAGAACATTTTTGCACACAACACTAATGATAAAGGACTGATCACAAAAATCTACAAAGAACTTATGAGACTCAACAAAAACAAAGAAAATAATCCAGTCAAAAAATGGGCAGAAGAGCTAAAAATGGGCAGAAGAGGTTTTGAAACCTCTTCTCTGAAGAGGAAATGCAAATGGCCAACAGGCATATGAAAAATTGTTCAACATCACTTGTAATGAGGGAAATGCAAATGAAAACTACAATGAGATACCATCTTACACCAGTGAGAATGGCACATATTAAAAAAACGAGCAACAACAAATGTTGAGGAGGATGTGGAGAAAAAGGAACTCTCCTGCACTGTTGGTGGGAGTGCAAACTGGTCCAACCAGTATGGAGAGCTGTGTGGAGATCTCTTGACCTACTAAAGATAGAGCTTCCATGTGATCCAGCAATTCCACTCCTAGGTATTTACCCAGAGGACACAGAAACATCAATTCCAAAGAGCACTTGCACCCCTATGTTTATAGCAGCACTATTTACAATAGCTAAGCTTTGGAAACAGCCCAAATGCCCAAAAATGGATGACTGGATCAAGAAGATGTGGTACATATATACCATGGAATATCACTCAGCATTCAAAAAAAGATAAATACATGCGATTTGCAGCAACATGGATGGTGCTGGAAGGGATCATGCTCAGCGAAATAAGCCAGAAAGAAAAAGAAAAATACCAGATGGTCTCACTTATAGCAGGAATCTAGAAAACTTAAATAAGGGACCAGGAAAAAGAATAACTATAAGAAAGAGAATATCAAAATCAACAAACAACTATGAACCAGAGACACTCTGTGGGGGCTTGGGGGCGGGGAAAGGAGGGCTTGGGGTCAAAATAAGGGGGTTGTAATTGTATGGGGAATATAAAAATAAAATAAAGCAATATGTCACAAAATTTTATAAACCAGAAAAAAATATCTTGTCTATGAACTATACAGCAGTCTCTTTTTGGAGATGTGAACCTTCCATCTTTGACTCTGAATTTCCATTTAGAGTTCATTGTCAGAGTTTCCCTAATTCCCAGCTCCCCCATCTTCTTGCCTTTATTAACTTTTGACTTCAATTTGACTTCAGTTTTCCTCAATAGGTTATGATTCAATCTCTACTACACCTATTTTTCTGTAATATTTCTGATACAACTCTTGCTTTTTTCTTCCCCTCTGAATGTAGTCCTCCAAACTGAGTTTATTTCAGGAGACTTAAATGTGTCATCTGTTCACGAGTTTTCCATGTGCAAAATACGTAGAATTGTTTTAGAATGGTATTCGCTGAGATGGAGTATATGTAATGCATCTCTATCCAATGCTACAACTTAGCTTTGATAATAGTTTATTTTTGGTTTTGAAAATCATTAAAAACTGAGGGGAAGGAGGTTAGATTTGTCTCCCTAATTATCTTTTCTACATGTTATTATAAAAATTAGTTTATAGTTTCTGAGAAGTAGATAGTTGAAGGATTTAAAACTCAGACATAAAAAATATTTTAGTTATTTGTTGTCTCTTCAATGTGGCTTTTAGCTTTCTAGGTCATTGGTAAGTTAAGGTGTCAGTATTCTGTAGGCCCTATAAGACTTTGAACGTCTATGTAAGTTAAACATGTTAATTTAGATTTCTTTATTTAGTGAGTTTCCTTTTCAGACAGTTACTGGGAAGTAAGAAGGACTTAGATAGTTAATAATGCTGATAAAACCAGTTTTCAGGTCAGCAAATAAAATGTAGCCAGGCACCTTCCAATCATATGAAAATCAAGAACATTCTTTTCTTTTTTCTTTCAGTCTTTAGGGCTATTTTTATTTCTTATCCTACCAATATAAGCTTTTACAGTCACATATAAGAGTTTTGAAACTTCGGGACTCTCATTCTATTTCAGTGTGCATGTTTCTCCAGTTTTATTTTAAAATTTTAAGTTGTCCCAATAATTTATTCTTTGTCATTTAAATTGCCCCAGAGAAATGGATATCTTTCATAAAGTGGATTTCCGACCTAATGTTTTGTTACAGAAAAAGAGCCATTAGCTTTTTGAAGAAATATTATAAAGGTCATTACTCAATGCAAATGAAAAGGTACATTAGGTAATGAGGGATGAATTACATTTGGTATAATACCTGATGCAGAATTCCACATCAATGGTTCTTACTATGACTTCATTACTAAACAGTGAATCTAAATTTTTATTAATTTTCAAATTGATACTTTTTTTATATATAAAATCAAGAATGTAGCTTTAAGAGATTCATGTTTCCAGTTGATCAGAAGATACTATTTTGATTCTGGCTATGCTTTATTTCCAGGTGTATTTTTACACATCCTAGCAGATACACTTGGAAGCATTGGGGTAATTGCCTCTGCCATCATGATGCAAAATTTTGGTCTGATGATAGCGGATCCGATTTGTTCAATCCTGATAGCCATGCTCATAGTTGTAAGGTAAGTGTTAGTTTGTTACTTTCAAGTATTGAAATGAGAATTGATATATAGGCTATTTAAATTACAGGTCTAAATTATTATGATGTTGATTTTCCTTTGGCCTTTAACATTTTTAGGAAGGTAATTTCTCATCTTCCTAGTTTTTTTCCACTTTGCCAAGGGTTTGTTGTTTCTCTTTAGTATTTAGCAATTAGTCTTTTGGGCATGTAACTCAAGTCAGCAGTAATCTAACACTGTTTGTAGAGTAGAACATTGGAAACAAAACTATGGTTTAGAATTTTATTCTTTTGACCTGAAGATATTGTGCTATCACATGCAAATGTTAGTAAAAAGCACTTCTACAACTATTTTTATTTATAAATTCACATTATCGTTGCAGTTTTATAAAAATGCTTACCTAAGTATATGTCTATTTCCTTATCTAGATTGTAAATTCTTGAGGAAGGTTCTTTTAATTCTTTAGCTCTGTTGCCCACATAGAGCTAATATGTATACAAATGTATACAAATATCAATAGATATTTGAATTATATTGTGTATTATTATCTCATAAGCTTGTCTTGCCCTAAGATACATTTTATTATTGTTTTTATCTTTACCAGATAATGGAATGACATGTGCCTTTATTCCAGTCTTGAATTATTTATATAGATATATCTTGATTTAACTGTTTTTATTTATCTATATGATTTCATTGTCAGTAAAACTTTCTTTTTTAATGACAATAAAGACCTGCTGGAGGGCAAACATTGGTGATTTTTAGAACTTACATGGTTAAGTGTAATAAACTGAAATTATAATCTTGTAAATTATCAGTTAGACCTAAAGATTTTTTATTTTGCTTTAAAAACAGTATATACATTTTAAACATGCAGATTATTTTTAAAATTTCTTTAAATGATTTGTGCTAGGAAGCAACTCTGCTGTGTAAAAAGTTTCTTAGAAAGTTTGGGATGCCTTTTCCTCATTTTTGGAAATCTTACTACCTTAAAATTTCAACTTAGATATTATATATTCTATGAAACTTAACTCCTGATAGATTTGATAACTTATGTTCCTCTTTATTTATACCTCAGTATCATTTCATTTTCTGTGTATTATAATTAATTGTAATTCTTAGTTGTTTCTGATTGGTCTTAGAGTTGGAACTTAATACTCCCTTTGCTCTGTCTCCACTGTTATTACCATCGTCCTGTCCTTGGTTACTTGGAAGAGGTTGGCCTCTCTGTCTCCCTCCTAAACTCTTCTCTTCACTGTGGCCAAAGTGATCTTTCTTTAAGAAAGATTATACTATAGGGAAAAATTATTTTGCTTTAAATTCTTCAGTGGCTATTTCTTACTCTCAGGTTAATGTCTGAATCCCTTAGGCAGGTTTCACAATTTACCCGTTTACTTCTTCAGTCTTTCTCTCACCTCATTCCAGTTTATGTTTTGCACCTATCAGACTGGGTTAAGGATTCCTACACTACCTCACACTCCTCCTCCCATGGCCTTTAGTTACTATATCTAAATAGTTGTCTTATTGTCTCTCATAAACTGCAGGAGAGTCAACTGTTTCTTTGTTGTTATAAGTCAACACCTGACACTGCCAGACAAAAGATTGTTACACCTCGGATTTGAATCCAACTAAATTCATGTTATTTCAGCCTCAGCTATTTGCTTTCTCTAATTCCAGACAGGTAATTCTTACTTAGTTCTATTCCCACCCTGTGTTTCCACAAATATGGATAAGTAAATAAATATACACACACAGGGAAACCTTTTTTATTGAAATATGAAACATTAAAAAGCTTCATAAATATAAAAGATAAAGGGAATTACTTCTGTTTCTTACCTTTAATGTTTATGCGTATTTGCAATTCACCAAGAACAAGAGAACTAATGACACTTTTATATATATTCTTAGATCTAAATGCTCCTCAGTTTAGAATGTACTGAAAGTATAGGTCCGTCTCTTCTGGGGTGTGCCATGTTCCATTATTACTTTCACAGTGAAAGTTGTTTCTTAGAAAAAAATTTTCTTCTTAATATTTTCTAACACAGGCAAGGAAGATATAAATGTTTGGGTTGTGCTACGAAAAGTTTGTTTCCCAATTAAAAGTAGCAGATTGAGTGTGACAATGAAATTATATTTTTTATCTTCTGAAAAATTAACTTTACCTTTTAAAGATTTCAGAGTGCTTTTGTTCTCACCCCCTTTAACTTACGTGCAGAAATCCAAACAGTTGTAGCTTTAATTACACTGGTATAAAAGTGTTATGGTTTACATGGACCTGTAACTTGATTTTTAATTCCCCTAAATAAAATGGTAGCTACTTGATGGGAAAAAATATATATAAACAGGATGCAGAAAGAAGCTATGTCAGTGGTGCATTTCTGAAGCCTTGCTGGATTTAGAAAAAAAAATTCTTACAAGTTACCATCTTGTACTGCATACGTTTTTACCATAATCATTTGTCAGTGGTGCATTTCTGAAGCCTTGCTGGATTTAGAAAAAAAAATTCTTACAAGTTAGCATCTTGTACTGCATACGTTTTTACCATAATCATTTGTAAATATTAAAAAAAGCTTTTCAAGTAAAACAAATTGTATTTTTGTTAGCTACAAAGGGTTTTCAAATTATATATATTTTTATTATATATTATATTTTACTATATATTATTTTTATATATAGCAAATATACTTAAATGTATATATTTAATATATACATGTGGTGATATATATATATATATATATATGGTGATATAAAGAAAAAAATAACCCAACTTATAGAGAACATACTAAAATACAAGCTTTAGAATGATAGGTAATGGTCAGAAATACATGTAAATGGAAAGAATATACACAAATAAAGCAAAATTGTAAAGTTTCAATTCAAAATCATAGGTGATTGTCATTGTTCATGAATACAGGATTTGGACCAAATACTGATTTAATAAATCTTGTTTGATTCCATGGTTAATAGATAATTATTTGTGGCCAAGTGTAAGTAAAAAGCAAGCATTTTTTTTAACATGCAAGAAAGTACCATATCTTCAAATCGTCATACATACGAGAAATTGTGGAATTTTTTTTTTTTTTAAATGGTTTGGGTGTTGCCTTACAATTTCCTTTGTGGTTTTCTTTTTAAGTGGTTATAGTTTTTGAGCTATTCTTTTGGGGGCTAACATAAAAGATAAACATTTTCCCAAGATTCTTACTTTGTGTTTGTATATATGTCATATTTTAAATTTAACATATGGGAACATTATTACATGATGATTATATTTGTACATTATAAAATCATCATAATAGGAGCATTAATACCAACAAATAAAACCACCTTCTTCAACCAGCATTCTGGGAGAGAATACCATCATGTTCTAAGGTATCCATCTGTGTGTAATTGTGAACTTCTCATAATGCATCTAGAGAAGTACTAGTAATGTTATCCCTGAGGGAATTGAGAAATAGTAAAATTACTTTGTGGTTTTGATGGTTCAGATGAGGAACCTTTCTTAAAGAAAGGTTGGTAGATGGTCTTGGAAATACTAGAATGGGCCTCCCCTGGTGGCACAGCAGTGGAGCGTTGGGCTGTGAAGCTGCCCGCAGCCTCTGCAGCACCAGTTCAATCCCTGGCCGCCGCTGCTGAGGGTCCCACATGGCACGCAGACCTCTCCTGACACGCCCGCTGCTCCCCTCAGCAGTGTATTTCGTCAGTCTGCCTGTTCTGCTCCCCACTGTGGCTCTGGTGAATTCTCTCACACTCCCACGCTTCTGACTGTACCCAGTGCTTGTATAAATAAATAAATAAATCTTCAAAAAAAAAAAAGAGAGAGAAAGAAATATTAGAATGAACAGAGCAAGTGTGGTGATGCTCAAAGGAATTGAATCACTTGTTTGTCCCTGACACTACTTAGATTTTGAAGATACAGTATCAGGCACTAATTCAGTTCTCATAACCATCAATAAACAATCCATTTATTTAGAATATTTCTGAGTTGAGCAAATCTCCATTTCTTCCCCTTTGCACTCTCTCACTAGATGAATGGTTAGTCTGGTCAGTTTTAGGCATGAATGCATATGGAAATGGAGGATCTGGTATTTTTTTCTCTCTGAAATAAATATCAGTGGGATTTTGATAAGGAGCTAATGTCTACTTTTAAACACCTCTTATAAAATTGAACTAGAAAGACATCTTTGTGAAGATTATATGCTTCTATAAAGAATTAACTTTTTGATTATATATCTTACATACTCTGGTGTATCACATTCCATTAAACTTACTCAAAAAATGAGAATGGTATTATCTCTATGGAGAGAAATTTGACAATAATTACCATAAATAAGTGTGTATTTATTTTTATTTAAGCAATCCTATTTCCAGGAATGTATCCTATACATAAATTGGCAAAAATGTAAAGGGATATATTTCATGTAAGGTTATCCTTTGTGGCTTTATTTGTTATTGTCAAAGATCAAAAAAGAATGCAAATTTCCATCAATAAGAGAATTCTTTGCAGCCTTAAAAAAAGAGCAAGAACGAAGGGTAAAAAATAGCAGCAGCAAGATGGCAGAATAGGAAGCTGTGGACTCTCTTTCCTCTCATGGAGACAAGGGTTTAATACAGCAAACTGACAAAATAAAATAATTCTGAACAATCCACAAAGTAGCTAAAAGATTCTTAAATACCAGGCTAGTGCATTTTGCTTATGCATTATTTTCCTAATTTCATTTAGTTGTCAGTCTGTGCTTCCTTTTAATTGTGGCAATTTATGTCTGCTCTTTATGTCTGCAGTTTATGTCTGGTATTTAATAATGCATAAGCAAAACAGCCAGTTGGAGACTTAGTTGGAAATTCATAACATTCTCCATTCTCATTAGAGCAACTCTCCACTAACCCCCTTCACACACTTGGGTCAAGTGTTTTTGAGAGAAACCCCCAACTCATACACGTCTTTTCCCTGGGGAGGGAAAAGAGTTGAATGTATCTCAGACTTTTAGGAGGGTTGGCGAATAGTC